GTCGTCGTACCTTTCTTCAAGTTCTGCGCGGGGATCGCGAGCGTGCCCGCGGGCATCCGCCTGCAGCCACCCAGCAGGGCGAAGATAGCCCGAGCCACGTTGGAAAGACGATAGCGTACAAGTGGAACGACAAGACGCAAGGCTGCGACTGCTCATCTCGAGCTCCTTGCTCCTCTAGGGCTGCTCGGATGCGCCGAGCGACCTTCACGGTCGTCAATGTCGATACAAGCTTGAGGCTCTCATACTCTTCAAATAGGACCTGTAAAGATTTCGGCGTTCAGGCTTGGGGCTGTCGATCCGGGGTCGCATTAGCCGTATTTGCTCACGATGGCCGTGCCTCTGGTCGTTCCTTCTATTTATGCTACAGCGCGCTTACGCCTTATACACCTGACAAACATTGAGCGGCCGCTAGATATCTCACAATAAGAAGAAGGCAGGGCCCTGTATCTGATTCAAGCCTCCCAATGGGCCCCACAAGTTGTTGCCTGATACTGGTCAAGTTGTAACTTTTCGGTGTCTTACAGATTCTTCGACACTGTTCCAAAGACAGGTCCTTGACGTCCTCTGGAGCTGTTTCTAGGAGTCCTTATGCTTCAAAAATAAGCTGTGCAATATTTTCTGAGTCTGTGGGCAAATCCGTACGACCGAACGACACTTACAGACTGCAGTGCCTGTTGTATAGCACTTTCCACCTTCTCCTTCGTCTGCGCTATCGCCTTCCAACCAATGTTGTGCCCACCCAGGTTGCTTGCTCTAGTCTTGGTAGCTGTCGTGACCTCGCGCTCCAGAAGTGCTGTCCAAATTCCATGATGAACGGAGTTGACCCCAGGCGCGTCCAGCCACTCAAATGACATCGCCGATGGGTTCGTTTCATGCGATATAGGAGGGTCCGCTGAACCAAAATTCCCCACCGGAAATATTGCAGCATTCGAGGAGTTAGAAGCAGGCTGTCCAGACGGAGACGAAGGAACGGTTTTCATCGACCCGAGTCCAAAGATCTTTGCATGAGATTCGGTGTCATTTGGAGAAAAATGTTTCTTCCAGACTGAACGAATTGTTGCCTGGCAGCTATGATGAAACTCGAGAAGACGATAGTAGTTTGCGACTGGCAGCGACTCCATCTCCGTGCAGTACATGTCGCGGAGGTTTGAGAACGCAAGTTGGCGTGCAGCAAGCTGGGCCTCATTCGCACACCCAAGGGCAACGGCGATGCAGTAAACTCGTAGCGGTTCGTCTGAAAGAAGCTGGTTCATGCGGGTCCAGTACGCGCGGGGGATAGAGGAGAAGCCGTATCGCTGCGCAGCTTCGTAAACGCGCAGCGACGTCTCGCTCCCGAGCTTGTCGAGATTCCAATCGGGAATCGTATCCCTCTGGCGGGGAGGGTAGCTCAGACGTAGGAGAAGTCCAAGGGTACGACTGTCGTCCTTCACTTTAATGACAGGGAGACCACTGCTGTCCTTGGCGCTTTCTACAGAACCCTCAAATGCCGAATCGAGAGTCCGGTTGGATACTCCGGGGTCCATGTTCATCTCAAGTAGAGCACGATGCACTCGAAAGCTGACCCCATCATGAGATTGTAGGATCAAGTCGGCATCGGGTCGATCGAAAGGATGGTCCTTCGCAAGCTGCTCGATCTCGTCCACAGAAGTGGGAACTGGAGGGGTTGCGTTGCTGGCGGGCCCAGGAGTTGGGTGCGAAAAGGTCGTGCTGTGACCGTCTCTAAGGTATTTCAGCAGTCGGAAGAAAGAGGCGGCAGATATTCGCCCTTTCATGATGGAAGTATAGCTCTGCGAGATGAGCGTGTGGCTGAACTTCGCGGATTGCCAAGATGTGCGCCAATTAGCCAACAGAGCTTCATCATCAATCGTTACGCTTCCGCCGAAGAGACCTGAACCCTTTTTAGGGCTTTTCGTAGTCCTCCACGCTGCAGCAGCACGTATAGCCAAATCTTCATTGCGATGACGACAGCCAATAGCGAAGAGGGAGAGGGCATTCGTGAAAAGAAAGCCGCATAGCTTTCCAGTGACTAAATCGATGGTTTCCGTGAAATCATACTTCTTTGCTGATTCGAGGACACTGTCCAATAGCTCAAGACTTGGGGCGAAAGGGTCTTGCACAGGATAACAGTACCGCAGCAGGCAGTCGAGCGTCTTGCTGTCTTCCACCATCTTGACGACGGGGCGCTCTGTGGGGTCGCTACTTGCAGGCTGCGGGATGGAGAACATGGTTTCGAAGAATGAGGACGCCAACGAGAGAACAATTTTATGTGCGTGGAAGTCGACCTCGTCAGAGGTGCGAAGTATGACATCCG